TTAAAATTATTATAAATAATTTTAATTATTAAATAAAATTGCAGGCAAATTTGCCTGCAAAACGCTTAAAGGGATATGTCAGATGGAAAATATCAATTCAATAAAAATTAATAAACATATTTATCTAATATGTTTCATAATTGTGTTTCGAAAATTATATCAAATAGTTTATTATATGTGAAATTTTCTTTCAATGGGAATCACAACATGTATTTAGTAGGATTTTTCTTGCCAATTTTATAACTACTTAATATGAATCTACTAAGTATATTATGAATTAGAATTATATAATTTCTACCGATTTCATAGAAATTGTTTGTTCAAATTTCTATATTACAGTTTTTATCATCATATTCAGTGTGAAAATAAAACCTTGTTTAATTATTTGGAGCTAGTACAAATCATCTAACAAAGGTTAATCAATGAATCTGCCTCATGATTTCATATTCAAAGTAATATTGAACCTGTTCTAGATATGTTTCGACTGATCCATTCTTTTGTATAAACTTTGCAAGTATGTACAAATTCTTTAAATATCGAGTTACATTAGTTGACCCAAAAATCTCAACCCTAATACAAATATGCCTGAATTGATTTATCTGAAGTCGAACAATGATTTTACGACCAAAATGCCCTTGATTTCAAGATACCTCCTCAATTGAAAAAAAATCTAAGTCATCGTAAGTCACGTTGTAATATTTCACTAAAGATTATACATATTGTCTGGTATGTTTACATTGACTTTTTTTGAAGGCATCATCTCACTGGAGAAGGGTTCAGTGCCAGTAATTATATTTTCGACCTCAAGGTGATAAATTTGCCTAACAAACAAGTTCAGCAAATTCAAAATTATCGTAACTTGCTAAACTCTCTATTGTCGCCTGTGGTCATATTAGCTTTAAATCTTCAACAAGCTTTATATTATTCAATTGAGCTGATAGAAGGTCATCAAGTCACCAAGTTTGCATTATTATTCGTAACAATTCTAGCTCAATTTGGCGATGACTATTCAGAAAGGAGCCTAAAGATACAACCAACAGTTAATATATATGTATTTTTTTTAATAATAATCAGTAGCTTACCCAATATACTATTCATTCTTTCAAATGAGTAGCACCAGTAAGAGTATAAGAGACCATAATCATTACAACATTCGGTAAGGTATAAGCTTAGATGAATGTTCAGCATAATCATCTCTTGTCTATAGTTCTCTTCAATTAAATAAACAACTATTAACAGTAGAGAATGAGCTTTATTTAATGCATCATTTTCAATAATATGAGTCGTTAATATTATACAGGCCCTTACAAAACTTGTTAAAATTTTCCAATCATCATCATCTAAAAGATCCCACATAATTGGAATTGTATAAATCATAATGAACATCTTCTATTTATCAGCTGTGAATCCAGAGAATCCCTCACCAGTTGCTATTTTGTAGGGATTCTTTCTATGTCAGCAGGAATTTTTATGTTTTTTGCACATTTTTCCATCAACTTGAGATCAGATTTTGTTATCTTTCCTCCATCAATCCACAAACGTTTTATGATCCAATGCGTAATTCCTAAAAATAAGTTATACATCAGATCAATAACTAAAAATCAAATTGGATCAAAGTATAGTAAGTGTAGCATTTATGACCATCGAACATGGATTCAGCTTATGTGACTTTTTCAATCTTCTTTTATCTGTTGATGCTTTCAAATTATCACATTACAACGATATTCTGTAACATCTTTCAGCCTAAACCATTCACTAATATCATTGAATCTCCTAAAGTTCAGCCTCTATCCTTCATTACTACTCACCCTCTTATAATATCTGTGACATCTAACTAACGCAGATATATGGTCACATAATTTTCTAGCAGCTGGTATATCATTTGAGCAATATATTACTACCAATCTGATATATTTTCCAGTTAGATATTTATCCGATACAGATAAACTGAAACCATTTCAGAACTCTAATAGTTTGTTTATTATAGAAGCTAGATAATGGTTGATTCAGTCTAATTTTACTTCATTCGGTCTAGGTAATAACCCCAATGTTAGCATATTTTCTCTCTTGAACCTTATGCTATGTGAAAAGTTACAAATAACACTATAAATAGCTTTGCAGCTATAAACTGATAAATCAAATGACTGAAACTAATCCAAATTGATCATAATTCCCAAATTGGAATCAGTTGTTTCAGGAGTAAAGAATTTGGAGGAATTTTGGACATCCATACTTGATGAAAACTTTTTCCATATGTTTCTGTCGTAAATATCTGATATAATACCAAATACACTATCTCAATTGGTTCATTCTTTTAAAAGTTCTTTGAATCCTGATTATTTATACATTGCTGCTAATTGTGTCTTTAGGCACAGTAATGGAAATACCATTTTCAGACACCAGATGTAATCATTATTTACTGAGACTTTCGTGAGTAATTCTGATCCACATAGTTTATGTCTATTTTGCATTAGATGGTGTGAAAATTCAACATTACTACATTTAAATCCATTGAAATTGGTTTGAATTAATATTTTTTAAAACAAGACTAAAGAACCCAATTAATGCATTAATTGTGATATCAGAAAGCTGAAACCTCTCCTGATATTTAAAGATCCAGAAAAGAATCCATGGATCATTTATATCTATGTTATTTTTCTGATCTGAATTATAGTTAGGATTAGCGAGGTTGGGAGCTACATATAATTCATCATCGTTTAAGGGTAAGTCATAATCCTCTAAATCTAGTTTGTCGTTATCTAATTCATAAATTGATTGAAAACCTTCTTTATCACCAAATAAATATTCTTCATCACCGGTTGAATCAACTTGTTTCTCATATTTTTTGTTTAGAATGATATTATCAGTTTTATGTAGAATTCTGAATGAGTTGAGTTGAGTCGAGT